TTCTCTACTGGTATGCCTTAACTCCTACTATTCTGTTCTTCATGCTTTATTTGATTAATCTGTTCCAATCTTCAGCATGACTCTGTTTGCCATATGATTGTATGATTCCACTTAGTGATAATACTAAACTAAGTTATCTCCAATAATGTGAAAACCTGTCCAATTCAGCTGTATGTTCCCTGTTCTGACTATTGTTAGATACTGCAAGTATGCAATATGTGGCTAATTCTGTATGTTAGTTCAAGTATCCTTGCTTTTGTGATTACATTAAATGCTGGTATGAGTATCTTGTCTGAACAAATATCAACTTAGTTGAACTATGTGCTGAACATGGACTTTGTTTGTTTCTTGGTGCAGTACTGTTTGCTACTCTGTATTCTGAATTTATTTGCTTCTGAAAATTAAGCTATTTTAAAACCTGCCCCCCTTACCCTTCATGCACTGGTTTTCAAACTCTTACTCTTAGTCCTTTAGGTTCCTACCACCCTCTATGTGACCACTGCCCAGGCTGTAATAATCTCTGTAATAAACAGATTTGGGGCTTATTAGTAAAAGCTGGGGGGTGGGTGGGTGGGTGGGTGGGTGGATGGGTTTCCTTATATCTTTGTTAAACTCGGGTAGAAATCCTGCCTATAGGTTTATTGTATTATGTGAATGCCATACTTGTAGAGATCCTGCCTATAGGATTTTTCTGATTGTTTGTGACTTTGTATTTCCACATTTTTTGGCATACTAGAGATACTGCCTATAGGTCTTTTGCCAATTCTGCATTAGAAATCCATGTTCATAGGATCCACATATATTGCCAATCTCAATGTGCATTAGTGATCATGTATATAGGATTCAATTTTTGTGAATTAACAAACTTTCCTTGCAATTTGCTTAAAAATTACTGCCCACATATGCTTAATAGATATCATGCCTATAGGAAATAAAAATCAGTTTCAACCTAGATACCATGCCTATAGGAATGAAAGGAATCAGTTTCAAAACCTGGAAATCATGTCTATAGGATTTAAACCAATAGATGTCATGCCTATAGGGTGAAATCGGTTTGTGAACCTAGAAACCATGTTTATAGGAGTTTAAATCAAGTAAACACTTAGAAATCATGTCTACAGGTGTTAAATTAATTCTGCAACTTAGAAAGCATGCCAATAGGATCTAAAGAGATAAAACCTGTCTTTTACAAGTTCAGATCAGTAATTCGCTTAGAAACCATGTTATAGGTCTATAATTAACAGTTGTAGATACTATGCCTATAGGATTCTGTGAATCACTTAGGCAAATCTGTAGGGTTATTAACGATTCTGGGGTCTAAAACTGTGATATCTTGCTGCCTGAAAATGCCCAGATTCAAGGTTTTAATAAAATCAGTATGCAAATTGATAGGTCTCGATGCCCGCCCTAATAAAACTGTTGTCTTGCATTCTATTTCTGCTCCTCTAGGTATCCTGCCTATAGGATCCTAAATTAATGAAATCTGCTGATTTAACTGCGGGCATTTGTTGTCTACTTGTGGAGGTTAATATGAGCCTTTATTTTCTCCTTACATGATAGTCCTATTTGAATTTTGTTTGTCGCCTAGCTTTTTCTCATCTTTTAAGCAACATAGGTCGGTCTAGAACCACCCTACATAGAGGTCCTAAATACCTCTAGGACCATAGGTAAGGGACGGGTAGTGCACGCATAAGGCATGAGTTAAAAGCTATTAGAATGCTTAGGTAACAACTGAAAGATAGTAATTAGGTAGTAAAGGAAACGATATCCCATAGGCTAATGCTATGAGTAAAACCCTGACTTGAGGGAGTTGCAAAGCATTGCATGGAATGATCCTATAGGCTAAAAAACATAGGACCACCCCCTATACTCCTGTGTAAAAATAAGTTGAATACTGTATCTGTCTAATTTGTTTTTCTCCCCTTTTAAGACTAATTCGCTTAATTTAAGTTCGGCCGGGACCCACTGTTGTGGACCTCGAAAGGTGCCTAACACCTCCCCCTCAAGGTAATTTCGAGCCCTTACCCGATCTCCGGTGAGGTAAACTAATTTCATGAGTTAACTGCTCTAGGTGCCCTAACGCACCTTAATCCGTTAGGTGGCGACTCTTCAAATCCCTTACCCCATCCCAAAAGGAAAGGAGTTGTGCCAGAAATGTCGAAACCCGATTTTGCGAGAAAAAGGGGGTGCGACAATAGGGTGTGAACTTCTTACTCAGATAATATGGCCTGTTCCTTTCTTCCTGTCTCGTCCTGTTGTCCCAAGACACAACCAAAAACTCCATCTAGTACGGATAGATAGAGTAGCAGAGGTCTACCAGGCTCCGGCGGGACCAAGACTGGTGGTGTGGACAGGTACTCCTTGATTTTGTCAAAAGCTTTTTGACATTCTTCAGTCCAACTTGTTGCAACATCTTTCTTCAGCATTTTGAAAATCGGCTGACAGATCACGGTCGATTATGCTATGATACGACTGATGTAATTGAGACGCCCCAAGAAGCTCATAACATCTTTCTTGTTTTTTAGTGGTGGCAAATCCTGGATAGCTTTGACCTTTGACGGGTCTAGTTCAATCCCTCGATGACTGACCATGAAGCCTAGCAATTTTCCAGCGGGGGCTCCAAAAGCACACTTTGCAGGATTCAGTTTCAGATTGTACCTTCGAAGCCGATTAAAAAATTTCCTTAAGACTGCTATATGATCTGTGCTTCTTCTGGATTTGATGATGATGTCATCCATGTAAACCTCTATTTCTTTGTGAATCATGTCATGGAAAATAGTCGTCATAGCTCTCATATAAGTGGCTCCAGCATTCTTCAGGCTAAACGACATCATTTTATAAATATACATCCCCCACGGAGTGATAAAGGCTATTTTCTCGGCATCTTGTTCACCCATCCAGATCTGATGGTATCCCGCGAATCAATCCACAAAGGATTGGAGTTCATGCTTGGCATAATTGTCGATCAGTATGTGTGTATTAGGTAACGGGAAATCATCTTTGGGACTTGCATTATTTAAATCTCGATAGTCGACAGATACTCTGACCTTCCCATCCTTCTTCGTTACTGGCACGATGTTAGCCAACCAAGTAGGGTATTCGACCACTCTGAGAACCTTAGCTTTGATCTGCTTGGTGACTTCATCTTTGATTTTTAGACTCATGTCCAGCTTGAACTTTGTGAGTTTCTGCTTTACAGGCGGACACATCGGTTGGTAGGTAGTTTATGAGCCACTATAGACGTGCTCAAACGAGTCATGTCATCATAAGACCACGCGAGAATATCTTCATACTACTCTTCTTTCTCTGATGGAAACAGGTGAATGCTTATGCGAGTTTCTTTGACTGTTTCAGAATCTCCCAAATTGACTATCTCTGTTTCGTCCAAATTTTACTTAGGCTTGTTCTCAAAATTTTCCACTTCTCTGACAATTTCCTCAGGTATTATATCTTCTTCCTCTGAATCACTTCCTTATGTTGCGTTGTCTCATTACATGTCACAGTCGTCGGTTCATCAGGATAAGTAATAATAATGTTGTGGAGAGAAAATGTAAAGGATAATAATAAATACTAAAATAGCAATGCATTAGATAAATCTTGAAACATTAAAAGAAGTACGGCTCGATGACTCGAGCAATTATTTCAAAAAAAAATGCATCTAAAATGAAATACTGAAAATGTCTTAAATGCTGAAAATTGCTTTTTAAAAATAAATCGTGCTAATTGCCAGGCTACCCAGGAACTCGACGGTGTTACACCCCGTGTTTTCGTACGTAAGAATACATCATAAGTCAATTAATGTAAGCTCAGAAAGGGAATCATCTTTTAAAAGTTTACAAAGTTAGTTCATCATGTTAACGTGGAGGTTACAAATATTTAAGATCATTAGTACCAAGTAGCAAGAGGGTTTGAAGGCTTAGAAGCTAAACGAATTGAAGAAAATAAGTTTCGTCGAAAGTTGACAAGTTGGAATGTTTTACCATGTACTTTTGGGGTGATACTAGGGTTATTAACATTATAAGGAGATTATATTATGAGTTGTTTTAGTCGTACGATAGTTGGTGTTATGTTTTGAAGTCAAGCGAGTTGTGGAACAAAAGTTGGAAAAAGGTCATCACAAGTTCCATTCATAAATGTGCTGAAAATTAGGTCAAATGTAACTGAGTTTTTCTCCCAAAATACTTGGAATTAGGGGATGATCTACCTATCAAATTACAGATCTATGAGTCTAGTTTCCAACGCATTAAACCGTTCATCTACGATATTGGAGTAGAGAGATATAGGCATTTTTGCGAGACTGCACAAGCTGCTAGGTGACAAGTAGGTGTGTCACCTACTTGTTTAAATGATAGCCCAAAAATAGGAAATTTCCGGTCGGCCAAAGAGACCATTTAAAGGGTTATCTCCTGCAATATAACCCTCATTATATATCACAAATAACCAGACCTAAACCCTGCAAACTTCCTCCCAAAAATTATCCACAAACCCTAATCGATTTTCCCTCTCTTTCAAGTTCTAATTGGGGGTAAAACCTAGAGTTTGAAGAACCAAGGGAAGGGCTGAGTTATCCAACAAGTAAGGTGAGTTTACTGCTCTTTTTAATACATTTATTATTCTGTGAATTCATGGTAATTCGTTCTACCCATGATAGTATGATAAGAAAGATATGTTACGTTGGTACTCGGTTGAGTAAGGCATCGGGTGCCCGTCACAACCCTTCGGTTTGGGTCGTGACAGCGACTCTATGTCCTCTTGATATTTTGGATTGGAGGAAGATAGACACAGAAGAGGATATATGAGAATATACCGAGGTCTGAAATTCTTAATTTTCAATTTTTAGTTGAAAATCTCATATCTTCTGCACTAACAGATTTGACATCAATTGTAGGATAAATATGATATTCCTGAAGCTGGAAAAAAATATACTTTAGAATCAGTGTAAGCTGCCTGGAGAAAGCACAAGAGTAGATTGAAAAAAGATCACTTTGACGCATATCACAATGATGAAACTCGACTGCAAAATATCCCTGAAGATGTTCTAGCTTCTCAGTTTAAGGAACTCCTTAGGTATTGGAACTCAGAGAAACTCCATGTATGTGTACTTCTTTCTACTTCTACTTCTACTTCTACTTCTTCTTCTTGAACTTCTTCTTAAAGTTCTTCTTCTTCTTCTTGAACTTCTTCTTAAAGGTAATGGGGATGTTTCCTCATTTTTTCTCTGCTTAACTGCTACTGGTTTTTTTGCGCTTTTTTACCTTGTTGCTACTGCGTATACACTCTGTTCGCTGCTGCTGCTATTTGTAAAGACTAGCCAACTGGTGTAATGACCCGAATTTTCGTTCCAAGAATTAGCATTCCGTTCAGCGACTTAAGACCTCGAGAAGGTTCGTAATATGCATCATGACCCGCATGTGTGGTCGAGTTTGGTTTTCGCAAGATTCGGAGTTAAATTTAAAGGAAAAAAACAAAATCTTATTTTGAAGCTCAAATGGAAAGAGTTGATCGGAGAGTTGACTTTTGAGAAAACGACCCCAAAATAGAATTTTAATGATGTCAATAGCTTCGTATGGTGATTTTGGACTTAGGCGTGCGACCGAATTTGGATTTGAAAGTCCATAAGACAATTCGGCGCATTTTGGCGAAGTAAGAAAGTTGACATGTTCTAATTATATGATTTTATATGTGGAAGAGGTCTATTACCATGATGGATACCAATTGGATATGATAGAAAGTGTACGAGGCGTACTATAAGATATATGGGGTCTAAAGAAAGTCCTAAGTCTAAGCCAAGTTGGATAATTTCATAATAGACTAAAGTTGCAAATGAGTACGCACAAGACCTCACTTTGGACAATCATATATAAATATATATAAGGTTTTATGTGATGAACAACCTATCACATGAAAGATCTTCAAGTCTAGTTTCTAACGCTTCAAACCGTTCGTCATTTGGACACTCCTACCAGAAGTTATGACCAAATTACCAAAAGTAGCGCAGAATATTACACTACCGCGCCGCCCCATGCGGCGCGGCTGTGTAAATTATCAGAGTACCTTCAATTTCATTTCTAAACACATTTTTCATTACCACGCCGCCCCTTGCGGCGCCCCACGCGGCGCGGCTGTACAAAAAAATGGGTTTTTCTGACCCGACCCCTATTTCATATAACTCCATTAGGGTTCATATTTTTGGGTATTTTCTGGTGTTTTAGAGAGAGGGGAGAGCGTTTTTAGAGAGAGAAAGAAGCATAAGTGTTTTGGTTCATCAAAATCTTGTCCAAACCTTGAAATCCCTCAAGTTCTTCATCAAGGAGGTAAGAATTTCTTTTTCCCCAATTCTTCAATTTCGAAATCTAACTAGAAATGGGTAATTAGTAAGATGATTCATGGATGTTTGAGTATTAGTTATACATGCTTGTAACAATAAGTTTATGGGAAGATTGTTGAGTTCAAATAGGTAAAGGTTGGGTTAAAAATGGTAGAAATCTTCGAAACTTTAATTGAGGATTTGAAAGGCAATCCGATGTCGGAATTCGATAATTTTTGTATGGTTGGACTCGTATCGGAACGAGTATTCGGATTGCGTAAGTTTTTCCGGGATTCATGACGTGGGCCCTACGGGCGATTTTGAGTTAAATTTCGGATTTTTAAAGGAAAATGTAGAAATTCATATGGAATTAATTCCTATAATTTTTATTGACTGAATCGAATTGTTTATGACTAGATTTGAGAATTTCGGGCACGAATACGCGAGGCAAAGGCTTGTTGGAATTTTGAATTGGTTGCAAAGCGAGGTAAGTGTTTGGTCTAATCTTAGCTTGAGGGATTAGGAGTTGTGTCCTATTTGTTATATGTTATTTGTTGAGTACGACGTATAGGCATGGTGACGAGTATCTATACGTTGGTGTCAAGCATGCCCGTGAGTCTTATACTTTGATTAATGTGATCCTGTTTCGTATTGTATATGCTCTATATGATAATTTCTATTGAGGAATATGACTTGTGGAAGTAATTATTGTTAGTTGAACATTGTAGAGCATTGGCTCAAATTGAGAATTGAGTTGTTGAACGTTATAGAGCATTGGCTCAAGTTGAGAATTGAATTGTTGAACATTGCAGAGCATTGGCTCAAGTTGTGATCGAGTTACCTAATTGCATAATTTACCTCTATTTGCTCCACACAATGTTGTTAGCCTTCCTCAAATTCTTACATGTTACTTGGCCTTATTTGCTTTAATGAAGCGATTGTTCTTCTTATCGTTTTGTTATCTCTAAATTGTGAATTCCTCTATGACCCCGTGTAAATATGCTAGGTGTCCAAATTATTGTGGTTGTTGGTGTAGTTATCACGTGCCTGTTATATCTTGGTGTTTTGCTAAAGTTATTGCGCTTCTTGGCTTTTCCTGTGATTCTCTTGTTGCCGTGCATTCATACTCTTGGTGTAGAATTTCCTTGTGATTGGGTTGTTGGATGATTTTGAATATTCTTCGTGTTGTTGCTGTTTGTTTATATTTGGGACTACGGGTTAGATTCCCGGGAGATCCTCCTATATATTTACATTTGGGACTACGGGTTAGATTCCCGGGAGATCCCCCTGCACATTTATATTTGAAGGACTTGATTAATTGATTGCACTTGTATTTATTATGTGTTGAGAAATATTTATGATGTTCTTGTTGCCTGCTATTTATATCACTGGTTGATCATTGTTGACACCATTATTATCTGCTTCCTATTTTTTTGTATGCTATATTGCACAGGTTTATTTGGTACTCTGGTCCTAGGCTCGTCACTACTTCGCCGAGGTTAGGATAGGCACTTACCAGCACATGGGGTCGGTTGTGCTGATACTACACTCTGCACTCTTTTGTGCAGATCCAGGTATTGTTCGCTAGTAGCTGCGCGGATTCTTGCCGAGGAGACTCAAGGTAGCCCTGTTGCTGTGTTCGCAGGCTTAGGAGTCACCTTCTTATTTTATATTCTCACTACTGTACTTATTTCCTTATGGTTGTGTTTGGAAATGGTAGCGAAAAACTCTATAGAGCTTATGACTTGTACTACCGGGTTTTGGGAAGATGTTCATTGTGTAAGAATTCTATTTCAGAAGAATTTTAGATGTTATTATTCATGGTTGTTATTCCGCAATTATTAGGCTTACCTAGTCCTTAAGACTAGGTGCCATCACGAAACCCAACGGAGGGGAAATTGGGTCGTGACAACTGGTTAGTTTGTCAAGGAGTAAGACCCAATATCAAGTATGTATAGTTTCTTTTTGTTGGCAAAACATCCATAGATGCTCGTTTATACGAGCTGGTCACTGGGTATAGCAAAACTAGATTTGAAAGTAGCATTCTGTTTATGCAATACAAGCTTTTGTACTTTTAGTACTTAGTAGTTACTGAAGATGGATGAGTGGTCAGGCTTGCAGTAGGGTCAAGAGTGACAATGAAGGTAGCATTTTTACTACTTCCTATAGCACCTTACATACAATGGAGGTTCCTTAATCAACAATGAGTTCCTGGAAATGATGTTCAGATAACAGTCGCTTTGTCAAGCTAGTTCTATCTGAGTTTACTGTGGCGACCACAAATTAATGTTGATTTTAAAACGATTAGGCTGATTTTATGTATATCGTGTACAATTGAATGGTCTGTAATACCTCTAGTATAATATCACCTTACTAGAGGTTCCTAATATTTCTTCAGTTCACCTTGTCTAACACTAGGTCCTTAGCTACTAGATTGATCATGCTATTTAAGGATGAACTAAATGACTTGAGTGATCAATTAAGTTCTGAGAATAATCGGTCACACATATCCGAATGGCTTGTACTGAAGAACGTGAGTGATCCATAATGAAGATGATGAGAATTATCCTAATAACTTAGGCATGAGGGTTTATATTATAGTATAATTGTGTAAATAACTGTTGTACTTATACATGTAAATTAAAAAACTAGAGTCATGGTTTGCTTTTTGGCTACTGCATGAATCTGCTTAGTGATTTTGTAAGTTGTTGTTTGATGTTTCTTTCTTCTTGCAGAGAATGTCCCAAATTAATATTGAGAACCGAAAAAAGTTGAAGAATTCTCACACTGCTGGAAAAAGAAGTTTTGCTTTAGTTCGCTCTAAGTTGGTGTGTAACTAGCAAATCATGGCAAAAAATTTCTCAATTTTGGCTCTTGTTTAGTACATGGTAGATCACCAGGAATGCTAACTTACTTTCATGTAACTAGGAAAACGATAAGGAAACTTCGGATCCTTTATTAGCAAAGGAAGTCTTTGTAGCTACAAGAAAAAGGAAAGATGGGTGATCATACAAGTGCTCGGATGAAGATACAACTAGTAAAATTGTGCGAATTATATTTAACTGATGTTTGTCGCGCCCCCTTTTTACCTCCCTTTTGACGGGGAGGGGGTCCGGGTTTCGACATTCACGGGGTGTAATGACTCATTTCCTTTTGGGAATTGGTATTTGAAGAGTCGCCACCTAACGGATTATGGTGCATTAGGGCACCTAGAGCAATTAACTCTTGGGTTGGTTTGCATAACCAGAGATTAGGGTAAGGGCTCGAAGTAACCCCGAGGGGAAGGTATTAGGCACCCCTCTTGGTCCACAACTGTGGGTCCCGGCCTAACTTGTAATTACGAATTAGTCCAAAAATAAACAACTGAAGCAAATAATTATAGGCGGAGCATGTTGGGCATGGTATAAAATAATAAGACAAGAATTTAAACAAGTTGTGTGCAGGACAGGAAAGCTTCAAGTAAAAAGAATTTGGGAGAGGAGTCCTAGGTTGGTTAGCCTATAGGATCACATCAGTACAATGCCCGGTAATTACTCCTTGGAAAGGGGCTACGCGTGGCATTAGCGCACAGTCATCATATCCATGTCTACCCTTCCCATACCCTTATTGGTCATGCAAAGCGAGTGTTGGTCAACGATCTCTATTGCGTGCTGCTACCCGTCCCTTCTTAACGATCCTGGAGGGAGTTAGGACCTCACCTATAGGTGGTTCTAAACAGACCCCTATGATTTTAAAAGGCGAAAATTCTAAGGCGACAGTCAAAAGCATTTAGGACTTTCACACATCATGGGAGCAATCAAGAGGCTCAGAGTTTCCTCCTCAAACAAACACATAAGCATCACGACTCAAGCACAGTTAAGGTCTTTTATTAATCGATGTCCTAAAGTAGGATATCTAAGTGAATATCCAGAAACAGGCAAACCCTTTTTAAACTCAGAAATTACACCCTACTAACTGCCTAGGGATTCTTTTTAAAAAGCCTGTTAGGATCAGAAAACGTCGAGCGATAGAGACAGTTTCAGAGAATGCAGTTTTGAAAACGCCCTAAAGGCTTGCCTATATGCAGAATACTGATATCTATATTGATACGGAAACAAAACAGGTTTTGAAATGGACTCCTTTAATACCCATATGCATGATATCTAATGAGATTGAGGCAATTTGAAAGAACTTGTTGCAGGAAATACTTAATAATTAATAAAACCAATTCAGAGACGAACTAGGCGTGATCAAGTCGATTTATTAGACTAAATTAACAGACAGAATTGCGAGTAGAGCTCCCTATATGCATGATATCTAAGCGTAACACTGATTTTAACGATTTGCAGGCATGGAAACATACATAACACTAATCCTGGATTAGGTCCTATAGGCATGGCATCTATTATTAAACCGATTTTAAGAAATGACTGTTTGGAACCTATAAGCATGGTTTCTAAACGTGACAGAATGTAAAACCTTATAGACATGATTTCTACTTGATGAGCAAACAAATTTACAAGTGAAATCCTATGGACATGATTTCTATTAGGCAAAGCAATCAGATTGAGGAGTAAAATCCTATGAGAAGGTTGTCTATTCAGAGCAAACAGACTTTAAAAGTAAAGTCCTAGGAGCAGGATTTCTACCCGTATTAGCCCATAAAGTATGCATCTACCCACCCTTTTTTACTAAATACCCCAATATCTGTTTAAAAATTATTACAGGCCAATGAATGCATTACATAAATAGAAATAGAAAATGAAGAAGCTATTCTATAGGGAGCCTTCAATTAGACCCAAATTTCCAAAAGCCTTCAATGGCCTCATATGCCTCAGTTCCATAGACAAATCAGAGTCTAGGTGCATCAAAGTTCCCTAAGGATCTCAAGGATCCCGGACAGTGCTTACACCTAGACTTAGTAACCAAAGATTGAACAAGTGCAGTGTGGAAAGGCCATCCTCAGTATGCCAGAGTTTAGAGGGTTCTCAAAGGATTCCAAGGCAGTACACATACTAGAGGGGGCAGAACTTATTGACTTAGAGTAGAGTGAGAAGTGAGTGACACAAGTTGAAAAGTTTTAACAAAAGACTGTATTAAAGCCAAATGTCTGTTTTGACAGCAATTCAGTAAAGCAACAGAGATTGTTTGAAAAAAAAAAGAGATTGGAATAGTTAACAAAGTCCAAACACTTTAGGATAGGTTCATACACAGCTAGTTCACAGAACTAAGTAAATTCAGTAGTCACACACAGGGGTCAAGGGGTTTGGGGACACAGATAACCCAGCAAAGGTCTAGAACTGGTTTAGACATGCTCAGAAACAACCGACACTGGCATAGTCACAAAACCAGACATGAAGAACACAACCACATAGAGGGGTGATAAGGATTAGGGGATTCATGGGATATGGTATGGTAAGTATACAACAAGCAAGAGATAATTGGTAAGCCATGCTCAACAACACACGTAAAGGGGAAATACTAATCTAAAGGAAGGGGGAGATATAATAACATGCTAGTAATGTACTCTTAACTACAAGTTTCACAACAGAACCACAAATAGAAGCAAACCAGAAACAAGAAGAACTGAAATAATAAAAGAATCATGTTGTTGTGGGAACTTTGAATTGAAACTAGGACATACCAGTGAAGAGGAGAGTAAGAAGAATGAAAGAACAAGAGAGCACAAATGGTTAGCCTTGGCTTGCAGCCAGCTAACTTAGCATAGTAGCAAATAGCACAAGAGAGAGAGTAGAGATTTTTTTAGTATGAGAGATAGTTTCGAACCCAAGTGTTCGTGTGTTGTGCTAATGAAAGAGTAGAGTATTTATAGTTTGAAACAGGTAGTAAATAGGGTAAAAATCATAGTAGCATAATAATTGAGGAGCTTAGAATCAATCAATCAGAAAATCAAGGCAAGTACTCCCTTAATTAAGGGAACTAATTCAAACGGTAAGAACCAGTAGCATATAAGGCAAGAAAAATTAGTACATGGCTAATAAGGAAAGAATCAAAGTTCAGTAAGAATAGGATAGTCAATTAGGACTAAATTCAGAAAAGTTCAATTAAGGGAATGATTTAGTGAGAATAAAGTACCACAACAAATAAGGTAAGGGATCAGTCAATTTAAACAGGCGAGGTAGAATTTTAGGGTCTTAAACGAAAATCTTTCAATCAAACCATCAAATAAGGAAATCAGAATCAATCAAGGGAGGGTTATGATTCTATACTTCAACATATAAATAGGGAAGAACAAACAGACGTAGTGAACAGGCACGGCTAGCAATATCGATAGAAGGAGGCAAGTCTTGCACAATCAAGATGAACACATTCACACAGAGGTGATATAAGTAGGCTAAGGACTCAGTAAAACCCATTCGAAGCACAGTAACCACTGAACTTAACAAGAATCGAGTAGTCATGCTAACACACAGAACCAAAACAAAGAAGATCTAAAAATTAGGGCTTTTAACATAGGCGAGTTAAGAAGCAGTAAGAACATAGAATCAGTCAAGATAAGCAACGAAAGAGGTTTAAACATAAAGGAAAATTAGTTTAAACAAGTGTAGAAGAAACTCCGAGAAACACTAGCTTTAAAGAAAGTAAAAACGGCTTAAAGTTGGTGATTTTTTAAAAGAGGTTTGAGAGCAGTGTAGAAAATAGAAAGAAACAGACTTGAATCGTTAAAAATAGCACAGATCTAAGAGATTCAAACGAAAGTTAGGGTTTCAAAGGAAACCCAAACAGAAACGTAAGGACCTGCTATAAACTTCAAAGATCGTAACAAATATGGTGTGATTTTGCCCAGAATCACACCGGAGAAGCCATGAACAACCAAAATAGTGACCCTAGATACAAGTCGGCGCGGCCCATGGCCCTTGAAGGCCTCAGAGAGGATGAGCAAGGCAATGGAGGGACCATTGGAGGCTTGGGGTTGAAAGGTGGTCGCCGGAGATGACCAGAGAGGGAGGCGACGTTTGAAGAGAGATTAGGGTTAGGTTGAGAGAAGAGAAGAGACGAGAGCATCTGAAGACGGCGGGGGTTTGGAAATGAGTAGGGTTAGGGGGGTCGTTTAGAATTAAAAGAGGAAAGAATAAACGAGGGCCGTTGATCTAAAAGATCAACGGCCAAGATCTGATGGGTTTTGGGTCGTGTAGGTGTAATTAGGGTCTGGGTCGGGTTAATTGGGTATGAAATTGGGCTGGGGAATGGGTACAATTTGGGCTACAATCGAAAGCCAAATCTGGCTAAAATTTAAATAGTCACTTTTCCCTATTTAATTTATAATAAATAATAAATAGTTTTCTGAAAATAATTTTATGTGCGAAAATGATTTAAAACATGTAATTATCATTTTAAAAATATATGGACAAATTTTACGCATATAAAAATATAATTATACACTAAATAGGTTAACATTGCAATTATATGCAATTTAGCTTAAAAATACCAAATGCAGTTATAAAAATGCATAAAAAATATATTAACCACATTTTGGTGTATGTATAGAAATTAAATGAATAAATCATTATAACAATAATTTGGAAAATAATTATTGGGGATTTTATGAATAAAAGGGGAGAAAATAAATCAATTTAAACCCTTAAAATTATGAAAAAATTATAAAAACCTTTTGCATGCTTATATATGCATATATATGCTATTTTGAAGATATTTATGCATATTTAAAATATATAGGGAAAAATTGGGTATCAACAATGTTATATCGAGATCAATTATTTGTTTTTATTAGTTTACTTTTTATTTACTTGTTCTATTTGTTTGAATTTTCTTTGAAGGCTGAAATGGAGGAAATTGAAGCACAACAAAACGAAAATGGCAATGAGCCCGTAGATGCATTTGCATCTGTCATGGGGCCTGAACATCCGGGACGTCTGAGATTGTATGGACGAGGGGTTACAAGCAGGGGCGTATGCGGGAACTTTTATAAGCGGTGTCGAAATCTATAGA